AATTAGCTGAACGTGGCAATGGATCACGAAAAATGCAGAGGCAGGGGTTGGTGGGGGGGAGGGTTAGGGATGAGGAAGAAGTGTACATCTTTCCCTCTTTACGCATCTTTTCTCTATCAACAAGACCGGTCTTGGCGGAGGAGGTGGTGGTGATGGGGCGAAGGGTGGAGCGAGCGTCTAACTCTCTCGCGGGACCTTCCGGAGAGATGCTTCTGCTCTCCAGTCAGAGAGACCATGTGGAAAAACAATACGGAGCTCAGCGTTGGCCAATCCAGCGGGGAAGGGACGGGCCAGCCCTGCTTGGCAGTGCACTTGGCTGCAGCCACACGCTGCCTCCTCACCGCGGCCAGTGCATGGAAAGGGAAAGCGGGGAGCCCAGCGTGAGAGGCTGGTCTAGATTTTCTTTGTAGGAATATAATGCGGCCGTAGGGCCTGGCACAGTTTGACTGACACAGAGAGGAAGGTGCTAGAATGGGGTAGGTGACAGAGATGGTGTATTCCAGCAGCAGGGGAGCAGAGAGCCAGCCTCCGCCCTCAGGAAACAGACTGGTTAGAGGGTGGAGGAGAGTTATGCTGGAGAGAAGGGACCCTGCGGCGTCTGAGGTATGGGCATGAAAACACGTGCTGAGTCCGAGCGCCAGGCGTGTTACAGGTGTGACCCCACTTGGCGTTCACCACCTGGCGAGGAGGGAGCCTCTGCTGTCATTCTCACTTAAGGGTGGGGGAACTACTTGCCCAAGGCCACTCATCTGGAATTTGAACCTCCAGACAGTCTTACTCAAAAGCAACCCAGTGCTTAACTCAAGGCTGGGGAAGAGAGGTCAGGCAGGGTAAAGGAAGTTTCTGGGGGGGAAGGGGCGGGGAGGGCAGGAAGTGCATCCCAGGTGGCCTGGGGAGAAGGCTGAGCAAAGTCTTGTTTGGGAGGTGGTGAATAGATTGGTGTGGCTGGGAATGATTGGGGAAGGCATCCAGAGTGACCCGGCTGTTGGCACAGAGCACCGGGGCCGAAAAGGCTGGCCTGTGCTACGCGTACTCAGATGTTCTTGAACCGGGGCAGCTCAAAAAAAAAAAAAAAATCCTGGATAGGACCAGCCTAGTGGCGGAATGCAGAATGTACCAGGGCGCGGAGTTAGGGCTAGTGCAATAGTCTGGGCGTGAGGTGATGACTTTAAAAAAGCACATTGTACGCTTTTGTCAAAAACAAGTCAGCTGTTACTGTTTGGAGTCTCGCTGCGCGGGGTCTGGGGTAACTGGCACTGTCCAAACACCTAATTTATTGCCAGTGAGGTGGAGTCACTTAGCAGCCCTTGGAGTTGGCAGAGTTGTTAATAGTCACCATGTGAAGGGAAACAGGTCCTCTCCCACTGGCCATCAGGCCCGCGGCAGGCTCCTGGGAGAGCCAGTGTGGGGACAGCCATGGAAGGATAAGCTTGGCGGTCTAGAAAGGCTGGAGAGACAGACAGGGTGCAAAGCCATGTTCCTCTGTCCCTCTTTCTTCCTGCAAATATTTACTGAGCACTGCAGTGCGCCCGGCACTGCTTGTGTGTGTCTGCCTGGCACATTGGGGCACCTGGCAGGTAGGTGGGTGGATGATGAATGAATAAGTGAATGAATGGAGAAACAAGAGGTGCTGGAGATACACGGCCACCCAGTCTTTCCTCAATGGAAAGCTTCGCTTTTGCTGCCCTTCTCCCTTCATCGAACACTCCACCCACCCTTGACTTCCCGGAGGTACCTCTGAGGACAGGAGCCTGGGAGCCAAGACTTCATTCAGTGGAAGCCCTGCCCACGAGCAGGTCACCTGACGTCATTGTTAAATGCGGTGAATTGGCCGCCGGCTCTGGCTGAGAGGCTTGGCAGGAGCGCTGTTTTAGCTGGAGTGGACATGGGAGGCCTTACGGAGGAGGTGCTGTTGGACTAGAAGCCTGGAGTTGGAGCGAGGATGTGGAGAAGGAGCTCCCCAGACAGGAGCGGCTCCACGACTCACAGGATCGTGAGGAGGGCTTTTCTGGAGCAGAGAGCCAGGCGGACAGGAGGGAGGAAATGCCAGCAAGGGGCACCCGGGAGCCACAGTGGATCGTTGGATGGCGAATGTGTCACCATCCAAAGGAAAGCCCTTTTATCTATAAGCTGTTTAACAAAGACTTCAGAGAGAGCCTCTAATCATGGTGCTGGAAATGTGCCGGCAAATCATCTATTTCAGAAATCAGCGCTGCTGTCAGGGTTTGGATGAGAAAGTAGATGGTTATACCACAGAACAAAGCTGTCATCTGCCACCAGGAGCAGTTTGGATTAGTTTAATGCAAAAATTACACACCAGTCAGGGGATTACAAAAAAGAAAGAAATTGCAATTAATAATAGTCTGATAGTGAGGGCTCACATACATTTTGTGCTTGTTATGTGCCAGGTACGTGTTAACCCATTTGGTTCTGTCTCACCACCCGGGGAGGGTGTCCTGCAGTCCTTCCTGTGTTATAGCTGGGAGAGAGAGTCCTAGAGCAGCACCTCGCCCAGGACTGGAACCCATGCATCTGGTCCACAGCCCATTCATAATCACCATGCTGTGCTGTTGACAGAGAAACTGAGATTATAAGCCAACCCCAGCTAAGCTGAAGCTAATAGCTGAAATAAACAGTGCTCCAGATGGCCGTGGCCTTGAGATGAAATATAGGACACAACACAGCTCTCTCTCCATCAGTGCGGGGGCTGGAGGACACTGTGGCCCCCAGTTGCCTTCAAGGCAGCCTTTGATGAAGGAAAGCAAAAAAGCAGAAGGGACTGTGATAAAGATGCTTGCAGACCAGAGCTCCAGGCCCCAACCTGCTCTTGGGGAGAGAAGGGTCTCTCTGGACTGCCAGACGTTGCAACAGACCAGCCAGAATGGGCAGCCTTGCAGATCTCTGCTAAAAATGGACAGGAAGCCAGGAAAGGAGCCTGAAAAAAACTCTACAAACTTCAGAAGTCTAGTCCGTTTCTCCTAGCACTCACTCTGGGAAAGCCCCCCTCAAACAGCAGCCCGCAGTCCCGAGGTCTCCAAGCCCAGGAACTCCCCATCCTGGTCTCACGCCAGGCCTGATGAGGGAGGGCTTCTGTAGGTGGAGGCCGGTCACGCCTTCCTGGTGCAGAACCACCACTGGCTTAGATGTCTTCTGAACAGTTTATAAGGCTTGGCTCACTCTGGTTGGTTGTCGTCTTTTATTCTCTGTTGGTTTTGCTCAAGAGTTGAAATATTAAGGTTTTATAAAATTAGTAAGCCAAGAGTATAGAAGCCA